TTTTTTTTTTTTCTTTTTGCTCAGGGACGGGGAATGTTTAATCTTTCAAAGAAATATTTTGTAAAAATCCCAATATTGGGAAATTTTTTTCTTGGAAAATTCTAAGATTCAATATAATAACGCATGATTCACGATGAAAGTTATGATTTAAATGCAACAGTCTGTATTTATGTAGTTTTACCGATTTGGATACCGACTGATCTAAGTGAAAAAGATGTTTTTTTGTAGTGAAATGACAAAATTGCGTATTACTAGCATTTATTAAGAATATTTACAGATATTTAAAAAATACAAGGATTTTAAACATTCTAGGAGTATTAATTTATTTGTTTCTTTTATTTGCTACCATGCAAATTGAACTTTTAATTTTTATATTATTTTGATATAAAATTCAATATAAAATCTCTCTAATCTTAATGCATGTTTATAGATATTGATGAAAAGAATAAAACCAATATAATAATAATTAGGTAGCTAAAATGATTTAAATAGATTCTCATTATTGAAATTTCGAAACAATTGAAAAAGTTTATATAGATTTTATAAAGTTATTTATTAGAAACAAATATGAAATTATTTACATATGCAGAAAGTTAACTGTAGATGAATTGTATCTAATTGTCGAAATGTAACAAAAATATTAAGGGAATTAATTTTAATGGAATTGTACCAAGTGTTGAATTTACATATAATATGTATTATTTTAATTATTCGATATTTAGAATAGAAGAATAGAACATTAATCATCGATAAAATGTCAACATTATGAAGATAAACGTATAAAACCATCGAACACATTAATATAAAATAAAATATTAGTATGAAAATATTATTATCTCTCGTTTCGAAATATTCCATAAAATTATTTTAACTATCGCTTATGCTTTAATACAATACAAGACATATATACAAATGTATGTGCAAAAGTATCCGAAACCTTTGAAATACATTTATTTTTAAAAAATATTTTCCGATTGAAAATATACAATGAATCTTCGTCTAAAAAATTTCTTATTCTAATTCTGAAATTGATAATTCTTACAAATTTGGAATATTGAGAGAAAACAATTGTATATCGAATAATGTGAAAATTATGATATTGTTAAAAAATCTACATGTAATTAAAATGTGATTGTGTAAAACCACATTTGATTTGATTCTAATAGTTCATTCTAATATTATAGAATTCGTTTTCTCCGAAAGGTGGCATATTTTCAACAGAGTTAATCAATTGTCCTGTACATTTATTTCTATACACATGTACATATTCGTTCATTGTACCATCAATTTGATGGAATGAGCCAATATTAATGAAACAATATTTTTCCCGCGGGAAACAACTGTACCATAGGGTAATTCAATCAAATTCTTTGCTAATAAAACATAAAATATTCACAAACTTTGAAAAATTAACTCCTTGTTAATATGAACAGTAATTAATAGTAATTAATTTGTGTATATTAATATTAACGATAAATAATGATTCATGCGATTGCTACGTTCAATTACGATTCTCACTTACGATTAGATGAGATCTGCACGCTCCGCTCGATCCTTTACGTAACGACTTCAGTCTTTGGTTAGTCTTTCTAGAATTAATTACATGCTAGCTTTAATTTCATTCTCACAGGAAATTAAGTCTCGCGGAACTCTCTACAGCGGGAGAGACGAGTTCAACAGACTGTGCTGTGTTTGAACAGTGTAGAACTCCCGGAAACCGAATCGATCTCTCCGAACACTGTTTGCTTTTTCCAGTTGCTGACGAAGGTTTGCCAGACGCCAGGTGGCCACGCGGTAGTCTCAGAAGCTGTGTCCACCCTCAGGCTGAAATACGGCGAAGGCGGAAGATTCCGTTTTCTGGCTGGGGCTCTGCTGGCCCCCAGAGCAGCGATCGCGCTCCGAGTCGCCGGAGTTTCCTTCCTGAACGCCTTCCTCAAATCTGCGCCGCGAACGCAAACCAGATTGTACATTCAGGTAACGTACGCCAATCGAGCGTTCGCAGTTTTCCAGAGGATTCTTGGAATGGAAAATGAAAAATGAAAAAGTTCAGAGAGATCGAAGTACGGTGAGAATTTTTTATCTTCGCGGATTCTGTTCGAAAAGATGTGTCCTTGATTTTTGCATATTATAAACGAGTTAGAAAATACTTATTTAATCGATACGTATATGCATTTTGATGGCCATTTTTATTACTAAAATTATCTCAGTTTATAGTTGTTTCAGTTATAATTTGACTGTGATAATCGTAATATATGACGAAAAATTTAATTGACAAAGTGAACAGTTTAAGTAATAATTAGCGTATGTTAATTGAGAATATTTTTGTCGTATCTTGTTTGAGTTAATTTAATACATAAAATATATCAAACTCACTTTACGTACCAAGAATTTCTCTACGTAAAATATTTCGTTAATTTAATAATTTTATAATTATTAGTCACTGATAAAAATCAAATTACTTTAGAAAGTTTTATATATCGTCTCTACACAAATTAAGAATATTTACTTTCTTTTTATAAGATTGAAAATGGTTAAATAACATTTGCTAACTTGTAATTAATAATATATAGGTAAATAATAAATTTCGTCTATCTTCCTTTGATCGAACTATGTTCTCGCTAAAAAAAAATTTGGAGCTCTCTTTACTTTTCTGACGAAACAAATTTTTTCGTATATTTTTCTGCCCAGTCTAGAATTAATGAAATTCAGATACGAAGCAAATTATCAAACATCATTTTCAAGAACAGAGTCATAAAAAAATATTCGACTCATTTTCTCATGTAGAAAACT